AATTACATTTTTTGAAATTTTTTAAATTAATTAATCAAATAAATAATTTAATAACATTTATCATTATATTATTATTATTATTATTATTATTATTTTTATTTTTTTTTTATTATTAAGTTACTTATTTATTTACTTAGTAATTAATTAGGTAAATTGAAACTTAATTTTATTATTTGTAAACGATTTTAATTGAAAATATAAATTTCAGTTTATTTGAATTATTTTTTTTCATTTTTGAATTCGGTGGCTCAATGGTAAAATAGTCGCCTGCCACTCAATCGACCTGGGTTCGTTTCTTTCCAGATTAAAATTTTTTTTTTTAATTCAAATTTTTTTTCCTACTTTTAGTATTTTTTTTTTTTAAATTTTTCAATTTTTTACGAAGGGTTTGAAGGGGGAGGGGGAGAGAAAAATAGAAAAAATTAGGGTTTAAAAATAAAAAAAAATTTTTTAAATTGCCTTTTACTTCTTGTTTTCTCTCTCTCTCTCTTTATATATTAAAATATTTTTTTTTTTTACTTTCTGTCCATTAATTAAAGCATATTATTATTTTATACCGGATACACTTTTCACACAACATTATGAGAGAGTGAGAGAGAAATTTTCTCTCACACACACACACACATATATATATATATATATATATATATATATGTGAGAAAATTTCTCTCTCACTCTCTCATATGTGCCAACTAGTTATCAGATTAAAATTATAAAATTGTATCAGAATATTATTCGATTAAATGACATTATACAATTTTGCAGAGTTTAAAACAGGATTTAACGAGATTAATAATTCATCGAATAAAATCGACGAGTGTCCTACATTTATTGGAAAGAATGAAAGCTCCCACACACACACATATATATATAATATTGTACTTTTGAAAATAGAAATTTTATTCTTTCAATATATATATAATAAAAATTGAGAGAAAACGAGAGAGAGAGAGAGAGAGAGAGAGAGAGAGAGAGAGAGAGAGAGAGAGAGAGATAGAGAGAGAGAGATAGAAAGGTGAAAGAAAAATTAAAAATATAATTTTACCTCTATCATATAATCTATACTCTTCATTTAATAATTTGTCATTTTTGTGTTATTAATTTTTATTATAATTGACATAAACTGCGCGTTCATATAACGTTGGTGATGTTAAAATGAGTGAATTTATATTTTATATTTTCTTTTTAATTATAAATTTATTTTATTTTAGCAAAAAAAAAAAAAAAAAAATTCAACGTATTTTGTAAAAATTGTTTTTGATTATAATTATATTTAAAAAAAATTAATTTCGTCATTTATATAGTTATTTGATAGCAAATTCTGAAATAATTCAAAAAAAAAAAAAATTGCAGAATAAAAAATTAACAAATAAAAAAATTAATAAAAACCAAAATTAACAAAAACAAAAATAAACAAAAATCAAAATTAACAAATAAAAAAATTAATAAAAACCAAAATTAACAAAAACAAAAATAAACAAAAATCAAAATTAACAAATAAAAAAATTAATAAAAACCAAAATTAACCAAAAACAATTATTAAAATAACAGTGAGTAACAAAGAACAAAAATAAACAAGTACAAAAATTTAAAAAAAAAAACTTAAATTGATAAAAACAAATTTGCCAAAAGCAAAAATTAACAATAATAATAATAATAATAATAATAATAATAATAATAATAATAATAATAATAATAATAATAATAATTGAATGAAAATTTATATAAATACAAAAAAAAAAATTAAAAATTAAAGCAAATACTAAAATAAAATAACAAACAAAAAATTGAAAACAAATACAAAAACAAAAAATTGAAAACAAGTACAAAAAAAAAAGAAAATAATTAATTTTCTTTTTAAAATGTAATCAAATTAAAAATGAGAAATTTATTATTATTATTGTTATTATTATTATTATTATTATTATTATTGTTTTGAATAAATTGTTTATTATTATTTTATTTTGTGTGTATAAATAGACATATAGAGACAGAGGCGTTATGATCCGTGGCTTATTTATCACCATAGGAACCGGAGTGATGCCCAAGGTCACAGGCCTTCCCACCCACTCACCCCCCACCCCTTTTGAAACCACCCGTCTGTGTTGTGTCTAGACCGTTCCCCCCCCTCTTTCACCACCCCCCAACACAAGCGGTCTCTTTACCCGCTTTACACAACCTTCTGATTCTCCTCCTCCTCCTCCCACACACACATACATACATACATACGTCTCCTCTCTTCGTCGTCCTATTTCCTCCCTTTTCCCTCCTCGCATTTTACCCCCTCCACCCCTCTTCGTCCTACTTCACTCACTCTCTCCGTCACATAACCTCCAACCTTGCGCGCTACCCTCTCAGAGGAGTCCCGTCTGTCTTGCGCTCGAACGCCCTTGACGTAACATCCCTCCCTTTTTTTTATGTATATATACATATATATATGTGTGTGTATGTCTATGTAACTCTCGTCAATTATTTTGTAACTTCACTTTCATCACATAGAGAAGACTACTTTTATGGTTTACCACCTCCCCCTCTCGGCCCTTATTTTCCTCTCCTTCTTCTTTTTTTTTCTTTGCTTGTGGCCCTTTATTCAACCCCCCTCCCCCCCTTGCCTCTTTAACACCCTGACGCTAATAAGGGAAGGGGGGAATACGATTTGCCGAGACAAATTCATATTTTCTTTATAGTTTTAGCGAGACTTTAACCCAACCAAAAAAAAATTCAGTATTATACCAGAGTTAACTACTGGCGCAGTATTGGTTCAGTATTGGTTGCCGAGGCTGGGCAGTCTGTACTAAACCAGTACTGGTAATTATTACGTAGGTATTTGTTATGTAGGTACTTGTTACGTAGGTCCTTGTTACGTAGGTTCTTGTTACGTAGGTCTTTGTTCCGTAGGTCCTTGTTACTTAGGTCCTTGTTACTTAGGTACTTATTACTTAGGTCCTTGTTACTTTGGTATACTTATTACGTAGGTATTTGTTACGTAGGTTCTTGTTACGTAGGTCCTTGTTACGTATAGGTTCTTGTTACGTAGGAACGTTTTACGTGTATAGGTACTTGTTACGTCCTTATTACGTAGGTTTTTACGTACTTGTATAGGTACATATTACGTAGGTATTTACGTACTTGTGTGGGTACTTATTACGTAGGTATTTGTTACGTAGCTGCTTGTTACGTAGCTGCTTGTTACGTAGCTGCTTGTTACGTATAGGTTCTTGTTACGTAGGAACGTTTTACGTGTATAGGTTCTTGTTGCGTATAAGGTCCTTGTTACGTAGGGTCTTTGTTACGTAGGTCGATGTTACGTAGGTCTTTCTTGCGTATAGGTTCTTGTTACGTAGGTCCTTATTACGTTGGTACTTTTCACGTAGGTATTTACGTACTTGTGTAGGTACTGAGGTACTTATTACGTAGGTATTTATTACGTAGGTTCTTGTTACGTAGGTTCTTGTTACGTAGGTTCTTGTTACGTATAGGTTCTTGTTACGTATGTATTTGTTACGTAGGTCCTTGTTACGTATAGGTTTTTGTTACGTAGGGTCTTGTTACTTAGGTATACTTATTACGTAGGTATTTGTTACGTAGGTACTTGTTACGTATAGGTTCTTGTTACGTAGGGTCCTGTTACATAGGTCGTTGTTACGTAGGTCCTTATTACGTTGGTACTTTTCACGTAGGTATTTACGTACTTGTGTAGGTACTGAGGTACTTATTACGTAGGTATTTATTACGTAGGTTCTTGTTACGTAGGTTCTTGTTACGTAGGTTCTTGTTACGTATAGGTTCTTGTTACGTATGTATTTGTTACGTAGGTCCTTGTTACGTATAGGTTTTTGTTACGTAGGGTCTTGTTACTTAGGTATACTTATTACGTAGGTATTTGTTACGTAGGTACTTGTTACGTATAGGTTCTTGTTACGTAGGGTCCTGTTACATAGGTCGTTGTTACGTAGGTCCTTGTTACTTAGGTACTTGTTACTTTGGTACTTATTACTTAGGTCCTTATTACGTAGGTACTTTTTACGTAGGTATTTAGGTACTTAGGTACTTATTACTTAGGTATTTGTTACGTATTTATTTGTTACGTATAGGAACTTATTACGTAGGAAGGTTTTACGTATATAGGTACTTGTTACATATAAGGTCCTTGTTACGTAGGGTCTTGTTGCGTAGGTCGTTGTTACGTAGGTACTTGTTACGTAGGTCTTTGTTACTTAGGTCCTTGTTACGTAGGGTCTTGTTACGTAGGTACCTGTTACGTAGGTGATTAATTTTGCAAGTTTTTTTTTTATTCTCTTCAGATATGCAATAAACCAAAAAAAATTAAATTATTTATTAATTAATTAATATTTAAATAAAAAATAAAAATTATAAAGAAAAAAAATTTTTTTTTTTAAAGATTATATTGTATGTACAATTTAAAACAATAATATTTGCGGTCTATTTTAGAAAAAAAAAATTGGTTTCCCAAAAAAAGTAGGCGATCGAGATTCGTGGTTTGGACCCTAAGGCAAGAAAATTTTTTTTTTAAGGTGCTCCATGGCATCGAGAACGTGACACGTAATATTCTGAACAGGGGGAAAGTATCTTCTTTTTCACGGGTGAAAAAGAAAAAAGGGGAAAAAAAAATTTCACCTTTAATCCCAACAACAACGCAAAAAGATCACCTTTTTATATATTTTTTTTTAATAAAGATTGATTCCTCTAAAAACAAAGAAAAATTCAACAAAAATAATTGAAATTTATTTTTAAACATTTATTTAGAAAAAAAAAAATTTTTTTTCTAAAAAACGTAGTTTTAATAATTTAAAATGGTTTTTTTTTTTTTTTTTTTTTTTGTTGAAAAAAGTATTTCTATTAATTAAAAGAAAAAAATATATATATATATATTTTTTTGAATGTATTTTTATTAATTAAAAAATAAAGAAAATTTTTTTTTCCAAAAACTAAAAAGAATTAATTTTTGAATTTTTTTTTTTTTTTTTCTCTTGTTACAGCAATGCAATCCTCACGATAAGGAGAGTGATTATTGGGGCGGAGGGCGAAGTGCAAAACAGGGCTACGAGGTAATTATTAATTATGAAAATAATTATTTTTTTACACCTTTTTTTTCTAATTGTTGAACAAATTTTCTACTTAATAAGCGGCAGCATTTTTTGTTACAGGCCAAGATGAACGCAGATCATGGCCAATTACAAAAAGGTAAGTCGAAAAAAAAATTATTATTATTTTTTAAAACTAATTAATTAATTAATTAATTCAAAATTATTTTACCAAAAAAGTAGTAATTAATTTATTATTATTATTATTATTATTATTATTATTATTATTATTATTATTATTATATGTATTATATTATTATAATTATTTCTAATTTAATTACACTAATTTAAATAATTTAAGGGGGAAAAAAATAATTTACCTGAAATAGCAAAAGATTTTATTAGAATAGCGAAAGATTTAACTGAAACAAGTAAAATTTTTTGCTAATATAGTAAAACGTTTCTCTATTCCAGGTAAATCTGTTTTTTTTCCCTTGATTATTTATAACTAAATCAGTTAATTATTTACACTAATTTAATAAATAAATTAATAATTATTTAATAATTAATTAGTTATTAATTTAATTATTAAATTAATAAAAAAAATTTTGTTATTAAAATTAAAAAGAAAAATAATAATAATAATAATAATAATAAATAATAAAAATAAATAACAATAATAATAATATTAATAAAATACAAATAGATAATTTTATTGCTAGTTGAATTTATTCATTTGATGTGTTAAATCTCTCAATTTGGATTTTGCTTAAAAGGCAACGTTACACAAATTTAAATTGTACGTCGATTTGTACTCGTAAAGTAAACACGAGTCAAAAGTCCGAGCCACACACTTGTCAGTGACTTTAAGAAGAAAAAAAAAAAAAAAAAAAAAAACCGGTTACGACTTTGCATCTGTGACGTAAGATCTCAACGATTAGGAGAGTGAGAGAGAAAGAGAGAAAGAAATCAAGTCCGGCAAAAAAAAAAGACGTGTGAACGCAAATTTATTATTCGACCGGGTCCCGCACTCGAGTATCTGTCTCTTTCTAATTTTTTTTTCCCTCTTTTTTCACTATACTCTTTATCTTCTTATTCTTGTTCGTTTCTTGTACTATACTTAAAATTTAAATTTTATCAAAATTTGCGGTTTTTAAGCGAATTTTTTTTTTTTAATTTTCATTTTTTTGGGGAAATTTTAGAAAAAAAAAAAATTCAAAATTATTTTGTCCCGGATTTCTTTTTTTTTTTTGATCCACTTTTATTGAAATTTGTCATTGTTATGCGGTTTTTTAAAGAATTTTCCGTTTTCAAAATGGATAAAAAAGCAAAAAAAAAAAAAAAAATTTCCCCACGGGGATTCGAACCTAGGACCCTTAGCGTCGTAGACGAGCGTTCTATCCACTAAGCTAATTTTAACTTTTATAATAAAAGTTCTTTTCCTTAATTTTGCCCTAGAAATTAATCGTCTTTTTTCTCGTATTTTTTGTCCCTTTTCATATTTTTCTATTCTCCTTTTGTAAAAAACAGATTTTGGCTAAAAAAAAAAATTCTACTTTTAAAATTTTTTTTTTTTTCAATTATTTTATTTTCTTATTCTATTTTTCTATTTTAATTTCCGAATTCATTGCTGTTAAACTTGAAAAAAAAAAAAAAAAATTCCGCCAGGTTTCGAAACCTAGACCCTCAGTACCAAAAGCGACGACACTAACCCCGCGGCTATTTTCTAATTAATTTTTCCAATTATTTATTAATTTCTTTTTTTGAATTTTTATTTATAAAACCCTACTATACAATTTTTTCTCTAATTAAAAAATTATTTTTTATTTTAATAATTTAAAATAAATTCTTTTAATTTATGAAAAAAAATTCATTTAAAAAAAGAAAATTTTATTATTTAAAAAAAAATTTATTCGCGCAACTCTTAATTAAAAGTTAAAGATCCTCAATTGCATTGACGTTACAAATCAAGCAATGACCTAGGCAGTGATTTTTTTTTCTCTTTCTATCTCGCTTACTTTTTTTTATGTCGTAGAAATTGAGTAATCGTTAGCTAGGCGCGCTCGTAAAAGGTGAAGTGTGTTTCCATAAGTGTTTTCACTGCCAATGTGCTGACTATACATATATATATATTTACTAACGGGAAACGCTTTCCCTTGCAATCAACTGACATTAAAATTTATAACATTATAAATTCTCAAATATATGTGATATATATTTTTAAAAAATAAAATTTGCAACTATTTAAAAATTTGTGGAAATTATAAATTAATTTTTTTTTAACAATAAATAATTAAAAAATGTTAATTTAATTTTTAATTCATTCACTGCAATGGTGGAAATTTGAAATGACGGAAATTAATTGTCAATTCAATTTGAAAAAATTATTAAGATACGAAATAAAATAGTAGATTTTTTAAAATATTTATTTTCTTAATTATATTAGTTTTTTAATATTAATTTTTTTCACTTTTATTTTTTATAATTTAAGTTAAAAAAAACCTATATTTTTCTATATATAAATAAAGCAATAAATCATAAATTAATAAATAAATATTTTTTTTTTATTTAAGCCGTATTCTAATTGAGCCAAACAATAGTTAAGTCACTAAATATATAGTTGAGCCATTCAATATATAGTTAAGTTTAATATTTAAGCCCTATACTAATTAATTTAATGAATAGTTGAACCACTCAATAGTTCAGTCACTCAATAGTTAGGACACTCAATAGTTAAACCACTCAATAGTTAGGACACTCAATAGTTGAGTTAATCCTTGAGTTCTACTTTAATTAAGTCGTTCAATAGTTAAGCCACTTAATACTTGAGTCACTCAATAGTTGAGCCCTACTTTCATTGAGTCAATTAATAGTTGAGCCACTCAATAGTTAAATCATTCAATAGTTGAGCAATTCAAAAGTAATGTCACTCAATAGTTAGGCCACTCAATAGTCAAATCATTCAATAGTTGAGTAATTCAATAGTTGAGTAATTCAATAGTTGAGTAATTCAATAGTTGAGTCAATATCAACTCAAATAGAGTCATTCAATAGTAGAACCATTAAACAGTTAAGCCCCTCAATAGTAGAGTTTTGTTTGAATTGAATCAATCAATAGTTGAGCCCAATTAATAGTTGAGTCAATTAATAGTTGAGTCACTCAATAGTTAAATCATTCAATAGTTGAGCCACTCAATAGTTAAATCATTCAATAGTTGAGCAATTCAATAGTAAAGTCACTCAATAGTTAAATCATTCAGTAGTTGGGTAATTCAATAGTTAAGTTAATATTTGAGCCCTACTCAAGTAGAGTCATTCAATAGTAGAACCATTAAATAGTTAAGCCCCTCAATACTAGAGTTTTGTGCGAATTGAGTCAATCAATAGTTGAGTCAATTCTTAGTTGATCTATTTAATAGTTGAGTCCTACTTTCATTGAGTAAATCAATAGTTGATCTACTCAATAGTTGAGCAATTCTATAGTCAAGTCACTCAATTTTTAGGCCACTCAATAGTTAAGACACTCAATAGTTAGGTTACTCAATAGTTAAATCGTTCAATAGTTGAGTAATTCAATAGTTGAGTCAATATTTGAGCCCTACTCAAATAGAGTCATTCAATAGTAGAACCATTAAATAGTTAAGCCTCTCAATAGTAGAGTTTTGTTTGAATTGAGTCAATCAATAGTTGAGCCAATTAATAGTTGAGCTACTTAATAGTTGAGCCCTACTTTCATTGAGTAATTCAATAGTTGAGCCACTTAATAGTTAAGCAATTCAATAGTTAAGTCACTCAATAGTTAGGCTACTCAATAGTTGAGTAATTCAATAGTTGAGTAATTCAATAGTTGAGTAATTCAATAGTTGAGTAATTCAATAATTGAGTAATTCAATAGTTGAGTCAATATTCGAGCCCTACTCAATTTGAGTCAATCAATAGCATTTAAGCCACTCAATAGTTAAGTCATAAATTACTTTAATTAATAAAAAATTTTTTTGTTCAAAAAAAGAATGTTACTTTAATTAATAAATAAAAAAAACTGTTTCTTTAGTTAATAAATTTTTTTCAATTAATTAAAAAAAAAAATTTTTTTTCTCTATTTAATTTCATTTCTTAGAAAACGTAACAAAATTTTTTGTAATAATCTTCTTTGAGTCTGTGAATGAAAGACGAAAAAAAAAAAGGGAACCGGAAGTGTCTTTCCAAATGTTCCTCGTCTATATATATTTTTTGCCCCCAAGGTACTTTAGAACATTAGTCACCCATACCTGATAATTACGATAACGAGAGTGAAAAATAAAAAAAAAAAAAAATGAAAAAGAAAGAAGCCTTAAAAAAAAGTGCAACAAGATGGACAGTATTATTCTCAAAAAGTCTCCAAAAAAAAATCCCTCCTCTCCTCATTTCCCAAAAAAAAAAAAAATAAATAAAAATATTCAAAATACTCGTAGTAATGAAAAAATTTTATTTAAAATCACTTTATCAGCTAAAACCTCTATTATTCACTTTAATTATTTTCCCAAAATGTAATTATCGTTTTTTTTTTAAATTTTTTTTTCTTCTAAATTTTTGATAATTAATTATTTTTCAACCATTGAAATTATTATTTTATTAATTTTCGAAAGTTTTGAAAGTACATATTATTATTATTATTATTAGTATTATTTGTTTCGTAAGTTTTAATATTTGAAAACGAGCGAGTTAATGATTTTTTTCAAATCGCGCCGAAGATGATGATCATAATAATAATGATAATGATGATGATGATGTGAAAAAAAACATTAAGTAGCCATTATGTATCTGAGAGAGAGAAATGACTTTAATGAGAGACTAGAAAATATTGGGCCGCGCGTAAGTCCCCAAAAGATTTTTTTTTTTTTTTTTCTTTTTTTTTGGGCATCATGCGATCTGTGCATTAATGGAGTTTTGTTGCGTAAGATTTTTCAGGAGAGACGTTATGAATTATCTAGCTTGATGTGTCTGTCTGTGTGTTTGTGATGTATAAGAGAGACCCACAATTTTTCGTGCCTTATTTTAGACACAATTCGATGCGTTTTGGTTGAAAAAAAAAAAATCATCTTCTTGATAATAAGTGAGAGACGAAGATGAATTCTTCTTTAAAAGTCACGCAAATGATGCAATCAGAACAAGAGACAAAAA